AGAAGAATCAATATTGCTTAGTCTCCTTCAAGCTCCTTGTTGTGCAGTTGTGTAACCCTTTTATCAATCACACATTAACGCAAGTGCACGTGTCACAAGTAATAAAGTGGATGTGTGAATCCAGATATCGTTCCCACGAAGAAAACTATAAAGTTGGGATCAATGTGAAGCAATAAAAGTAACAATATTTATGAAAGTTTTGTGAATTAAGAACTAAGGACTAAAGTAAACTACTGACTAATAACTAAAAGCAAAGTAAAAATAAACTAAGAGTGCACTCAAGAACAAATAAGTCAAGTAAACAAAGTAGATTGGGATCAATTTCCCCAATATTACAGTTTCACCAGAATGCAGTCACAATTCTACAGCAATCATCCATTCAGTAACCAGAACACTAATGTGTGCAAGGGCTCTCACCAACAATACATGTATACTAAGTCCCACATCTCTATGGCCAACATAGTTATGAATCATTAAGTTCAAGTTCCATATAATTTTGTGGTGTGAATGATCTTTGTACCCACAATTAACCTGTTTTATTTTGTTAAACCACAATGTTTAATAACTTTCAAGATTCACCTATATCTCTATAGCCCAACTCCCAAGTATCTTGTAGCTCTCTCTCTCTCAATAAGTCAACAAGAATAGAGACAAATTAAGTACTTTATTAAACAACTAATTGGAAAATCACATAACAAAGTTTAGGCAAACTAATTACATCACAATAAGGGTACTCTATCACCCAATCTTAACAAATTAGGTCATACTTGAATAGAAAGAAACAACAAAGAGGGTTAAAGATTCCATAAAACTAAAATAAAACAAACAGGGGCGTTGCTGTAGCACTGCTCTCGCAGCAACCATGGGCTCTACCACTATCCACCGTATCTCAGCCGCCGGAATAGTGCAGGGATCCACCAGATTCAATAATCTCTCTATCAAATCCTACCCTCACCCTTTGATTTGTTGGATCTCTCTCAACAAATCCTCAAAATCTCTCTAAGTGTTTCACGAATTGGATCTCCTCCAAAAGCCCACCTTCTCTCTAAAAGAGAGGCTGACCAGCCTCCAAGAGAGACTCTCCAACCTGTTTGATGTGTGTAGGCTCCCTCTTTTTATAGACTTCGATGAATTGGGATCCAATTAGCTCTTCAAATCCATTACAAATCATGTTCAAATCTGCTCTGTTTTGCTGCAGCTATGATTGAAGATACAACTCTGTTTTGCTATAGCGTTGAAGATTCTTTCCTTATTTGCTGCAGATATGATTGGAGATACAACACTATTTTGCTGTAGTGCTGAAGATTCTTTCCTTATTTGCTGCAGCTATGATTGAAGATACAGCTCTGTTTTGCTACAGCGTTGATTGAAAATTCTTTCCTTATATGCTGCAGCGCTAATCAGGGACAACGCATAATGTTGTTGCATATCTTCTCCAAATCTTTCCAAATATACTTCAGATTTGATTTGGATTTGTGCAAGCTGATTTGTGGGATATTTGATTAGGATTCTTGAAGATCCTTGAGTGATTATTCAGATCAGAATATCTATTTTCGTGCTCAGAAGCTTCCCTCCATTAATTTGGGCTTGGGTCCATAGCTTGCTGGTGATGATGTCAACCAGACATGCTGCTGACCTCATCTTCAATGCTACAACACTGCTTTTCGATGCTACAACACTGACCTGCAATAAAACAACAAATGCAATAAATGATTCTAACACTCAAATTATCTTCAAATATTCACACTTATCATATTTCTCATTCAAATCATGAAAATATAGAATTCATGCATTAATCATATAAAACCAAGAGAATTATGTATATTTATGGCACCAAAACATCACAAATAAGCCTAGAAATAACTCTCTTTCAGAGAGTTATCACTCCTCTCTCTCTGAAATCTCCAACTCTGGACTCCAGTGCTCTCCTCCTTCCTCTGAATGTGCTTGCCTCTGTCAAACTGTGTCTTTGTGTTTCCAAGAGATGCCTTTTTATAGGGATGAAACCATATCTTTAATTTTCCATAATATCTTCAATGGAATCTTCACTAGAATCTTCAATTGAAAGTTTCAATTCATGATTTTTATTCCTTTTTCACCACCTTTTTCTTTCTTCTTGCTAATAATTTATAGCCTAAATTTTCTTTCACAATTTTTTTCTTTTCCTTTGCACATCCTCTTCTTAGATAGATTTATTTTTTCTTTAAGGTACTTTTTCCTTTTTATCACTTAACTTTCAAAGGAGAACTTCAGCTTTTTGACCATATTGCCACTCATTAATTAATTAATAACCAATTTGCCCCTCATCCAGAACTATCCACCAACCGGCCCCTTTTTAATCGACTAACTTGAAGTTTTAGTTGATTAAATCGTCAAAATTCAGAAATTACAGCGACACGAAATTTAGTCGATTAAAAATCCTTCTTGATCGATTAAATTTCGGGATTTTTAATCGACTACAATAATTATTTAGTCAATTAAATGTCGGCAAAAATGTTTTTAAAAAACCCCCACATTTGGCAGAGGGGGGTTTATTGAAACCCTAGTCGATTAAACCCCTCTCCCAAACCCCAAATCGATCTCCTCCAGAAGAACAACCCAAACTCCTCCCCAAGGCGTGTGGATTGGACCTAAAAATTCTCTAATTCGTGAATAGGTAAGGTTTTTTAACTTGCATTATGTTTTATGTTTTTTTTTTTTCTGTACACATATTAGTTATACACTTGGGTGTTTTATCTCTGATTTATGGTAGAATGTTGGTCACTATACTGCAACTAACAGCTTTCTGTTATCTACTTCAAGTTATTATGTTATTGTCATGCAAGATTTTGAGAAAATTAACAACTTGTCTATAATGGTCACAGCAACACCAATGGAAAATTAACAAGTATACTTGTCTATGGCTGTAGTTGAATACAGAAACATCAAAGAAATGTTACTTGTAAATTAGTTATGCATGCTTTTTGTATCTTGTGTAAATTTCACTTTAAATTTTCATTGTAGGTATTTCGTAAAAATGGCGGGCCGTAGAAGACCAAGCAATGCCAAAGGTGAGAGACGCACGAAGCAACGACAAGAACGACCTTCTTCGTCAAGGCCACAAGACGAAGAGCCTGATATTGTCGACCTCCCATTTGGACACCTATTTGAGGATGACCCCTCGGTTCACGCTGCATTTGTACGTGACCATTTGAACTGGCCCTTATGTCCTCCAAAATCATTGGATACAACATTTTTTACGGCGGAGGGATTTCAGATTCTGGAGCGTTTTGGCGCTCTGTTTGGCCGCCAAAACGCTCTACTCCAGTGATTTCTTGTTGTTTTCTTCATTTAGAGCGTTTTAATGTTCATCTTTAGACGCCAAAACATCCTCTTCCAGCTTGCACATGCTTGGAATCTTGCTTCTTTGAGGCTTGAACTCATCTTGTTGCATTCCTTTGGCTCCAAAAAGCCTTGATGGATGTTAAAATCCCTTGAAATAAGAAATATTACAAGATGTTAGCAAGATATTCAATTCTTGTGACTTTATGGTGTAAAACCCTAATTCTCATGCAACTCATGATTTATTTCAAGTATAATAAGGCCTAAAACCAAGGTAAACCAAAGGTTTATCAACCTTTCCCAGATTTGAATATAGTTGTCCTAAGCAATCAACTAGAATAAACTTATGAAAAATCAATCAAGACCTTCAAGTGCATGGAGTTTATGGGCAGAAACTAATCAGAGACATGATCACAGAGCATTCAGACTATAAAAATTGATGCATCAATCAACAAGATTCATAATTCATTAGAAAAATTGAAACAAAATTCTTAAGATCAAGAATAAGGAAAATTTACTGAAACATTCCCTCACTAGGAATTCAATTCACTCACACTCAACTGTCTAGAGGGTTGGTGTTTCACTCTTGTTACACTGTATCAACACTACCATAGGCTTGCTTATATTCTCGCTCTCCACAGTTCTTATAATAAATCAAGCAGTTTAAGAGGTCTTCAGCAGGGTTGTAATGTGTCCTGGTTAAAGGAAGGAAAAATTTTTAGAACAAAAGCTTAAGAATAAAATTCAGATTTAGAAGAAAAGGAAAAAAGTAATTCGTTTCTTTCAGTTGTAACATTTTTCTTCTTCTATCCAGTTCTTTCTTCTCTTTCATTTGAACTTCTCTCTTTTGTCATTTTCTTTCCAAGAACATTTTATTTCTTGTTTTTAACTTCTTTTCCTTTCTTTTCTTTGAGCAATTTGCTTGCTCTTCTTTGTTCTAACCAACTTTTCTTCCTTGGGCTTTGCCCTTTTTGCTTGTACTTCTTTTCGTTGAACACTTGTGTAACCACAACTTATATCAACTCTTTACTTCAAATCTGAAATTAATCTTCTATTGAGGTGAAGATTTAATTGGGGAAGTCGCTTTTAACATTCAAGGGTTTTTCATGAATAAAAAGTCTAGGCTCAATGGGGCTTAACTAAGGAATATCATTAAAGGTTAGCTATTTGGTCATCTAGTTAGAGAAAGAACATGCCCCTATCATCTCTACCAAATGTATCACAGACCATTTCAATCAAGAAACAAAGCAAGTTCTAGAGTATCTCAACAGTGGAATGCACACTCAATTAAATTTTTTTGTATGGGCTCAAAACCTCACGGCTATGAATGCACAGTAATTATCTTGTTCTTTTTCTTAAACAACTCCAATACCAATCAATATGTTCAATGAATCATGTCACTTATTGCAATGATGCTCATTAAAAAATAAATGTATAAGTGCATCATCATGCTATGAATCAATTACTAATTTAAAATTCCTGCAATTTTTTCAATTAAAAACACTGAGAAAACTTTAAAAAATTTCAGAATTTTCACAAAAAAGTGGCTAGGGGTTTTTAAAATAACTAAATATTAAAAATGCAATTAAAAAAATTAAGCTAAAGAAAAGGAGAAAGGGTTTGAGATAGTTCCCTGTTTTAGCCGGATACTCTGTGTGTACTCATGAAGTTCCTCCAGCTTACTCAATTGTGCTTACATGAACCGCGTGTTCCCCATTCCCAGATTTAAATGTTGCTGTCCTCAGCAACATATTTAAATCTACAAAGAAAATGCGTCGAGAAATAAAAACAACCAGACGCTCTCTTGTTGTTTGTTCCCTCTTCTTCACCTGTAAAATTCACTCAATGATAGCCATTAGTCTCAACACCTTCCCCTATATTTTTGTATTTTTCTTAATTGAACAAAAAACAAAAAAATAAAATACAATAAAATAAAAATAAAAAATTAATTAAAACTAAAAATAGTAAAATGGTGGGTTGCCTCCCCCTAGCGTTTGTTTTACGTCACGAGCTTGACGTACCTGACTTATGATCATGGTGGTTCAAAGCATGATCTTGGTGATGACCAAGCTCCATCATTCAGAAATTGTGTCCTATCATAGTGCTCTTCTGCATATGGATGAGGTAAAGTAGTCTCAGGAACTTTGAACTTGACTTTTACATGCTTTCATTTGCTACTGGGTTTCTCCATCTTAACTTTTGGTTTACTTTCTTGAAAAGACTCCTCATTGTGTTCTTCTTCACCTTCCTTTTCACTAATAAAGTAGACTTGATCTTCCGGTTAAGCTACGGATGAGGGGACTTCTTTGTCAAAGAATTTGAAAATTGCTTGCTCTCCGTCTACCCGTAAGATCAACTCACCTTTAAGTACATCAATCGGTGCTCCTGAAGTTGCCAAGAAGGGTCTTCCAAAGATCATTGGAATAGTGGCATCTTCTTCAATGTCAAGGATGACAAAATCAACAAGAATGATGAACTTGTCAACCTTAACCAATATATCCTCAATGATGCTGTAAGCTTGCTTTGAAGAGCGGTCAGCCAGTTGCACTATCGTTGTTGTGGGCTTCACTTCTGTAATTCCCAGCTTCTTCATCATGGAGAGTGGTATGCCGTTGATGCTAGCTCCAAGATCACATAAAATATTGTCCACTTCCACCTTGCCTATAGTGCATGGAATGCTGAAGCTCCCTGGATCCTTGACTTTGGTAGGTAACTTCTTTTGGATGATAGCATTACATTCCCCTGTCAGATTCATCGTCTCACATTCCTGCAACTTACGCTTCCTTGATAATAGATCATTCATGAACCTTGCATAGTTGGGCATGTTCTCTAAAGCTTCGGCAAAAGGAATGTTGATCTGCAACCTCCTGAATACGTCTAGAAACTTTGAACACTGCTGCTTCTGAATCTCTTTCTTTAATCTCTGAGGGTAAGGGATTCGAGCATATGGGGAGAGATCCAATGGCTTGTTCTGTCTTTCTAGAGCTTTCTTCTTCTCCCACTTGAATAGTTTCTTTTCGGCTTTTTCAGGATTGCTTTTGTCAACTTCAATTGTATCTTTTTCCTTTTCTTCCTTCTCTTCTTCAACTGATGCTTCTCCATCCTTCTTCTTTTCTTCGGGCTGCTCCTCTATAGGCTAAATCATTGTCCCACTCCTAGTGGTGATAGCATTGCAATGCTCCCTTGGATTGACAACTGTGTTGCTTGGAAAAGTACCCTGAGCTCTCTCAGAAAATTGCTTTGACAATTGGCCAATCTGAATTTCCAGATTTCTTATGGAAGCTTCTTGATTCCGGTGTGTTAATCTAGTCTTTTTCATGAAAGCAGATGTGTCCTCTCTGAAAGCATTTGCACCTTGAATATAATCAGAAGTGGTCTTGCATAGTTGTGCAAAAGCTTTCTCCCACTCAGAAGTGTTACTTTGTTGTAGGGTATGTGGTTGCACTGGAAGGGGAGGATTGAGCTGATGGTTGGATTTTTGACTCAACCCTGGATGTTGATTCTGATTCTTCCACCCTTGATTGTAGTCATTCCCATACTGGTTCCTTCTTGGATCATTATGGTTCTTCTGATCATACCAGAGTCCATTTACTTCAGCAGTTTCAGGTGCTCTCATGAAGTAGTAGTCTTCAGTAGCATGAGTACTTATACATATACCATAAGTAATTTGAGGATTATTAACAGAAGAAACTTGAGAATTAGCAAATTGCTTTGTAAGAGCATCTAATTGTGCTTGTTGTTTCTTATTCATTTGCAGTATTTGTTCATTTTGGGCCAATATTGCATCATAGCCGTCAAGCTTTATGATCCCCGTTGTCCTTTGTGGGACTGGAGCATTATCGAACTCCTGAGAGGCTAAAGATTCCAGCAATTCTAGTGCTTCCGCTGGAGTTATGGTTTTCAGTGATCCTCCTGTTGCAGCATTCACCAAGGTTCTTGTGCTCGGCGTCATTCCTTGGAAGAAGATTCGTCCTTTCTCCCAAGCTTCAAAGCCATGTTGTGGACACTTCCTGAGCAGTCCCTTGAACCTTTCCCATGCCTCGTACAAGGATTCACTTTATTTTTGTTCAAAAGAAGTGTTATCTGCTTTGAGCCTTGCCATCTTTGAAGCTGAGAAGAATCTGGCCAAGAACTTGGTCGCCAAATCATCCCAGTTGGTGATGCTTCCTTGAGGCAGTGACCGCAACCACCCTCTTGCTTCTTCCTTCAGTGAGCATGGGAATAGTCTGAGCAAGATGGCGTCACATAAGACTCCATTCATCTTTAATATATCACAATAGAGCAAGAAATTCTCTAGGTGATTGTAGGGGTCTTCGGTGCTTCCTCCAGCGAACTGATCTTTTTGAATCAGTTGCAACAGTGCTGGCTTGAGCTCAAAGTTGTTAGCTTCCACATTGGGTCTAACAATGCTCGCCGTCTATGGAACTCGAGCTGGAGTCATGTAATCTCCCAACGTCCTCGGAGGATTCTGAAGTACGTTGTTGTTAGCCATTGTTTCTTCCTTTGGTTCTGTTGAACTTGATGCTTCTTTTGCTTCTATTTCTTTTGCGTTTTTTCTGAGTTTTCTGGCTTTCTTTTCTATCTCAGGATCAAACTGCAAGGATCGTGGATTAACAGTACCTCGTATAAACTAAGAGTGAACGATTATGCAGAAAATGCAGAAAATAGAAAACAGAAAATTTAAACAGAAAATAATGAATGCAGAATATGAAGAAAATTAATGCAGAAACTATTTTTTTTTATTTCAAAAATAATAATAAAAAATTTAAAATTTTAAAATTTTTAAAAAAATTAGAAACCAAAAAAAAAATTAAAATAAAAAAAAATTAATACAGAATTTAAATTGCAGAAATTTAAAATGTCCAATCTAAACAGTTTTTAGTTACTTCTAATGCTGAAGGATCCAATCTCCGGCAACGGCACCAAAAACTTGTTGCTTCTGGATCGTTTTGGCGCTTTGTTTGGCCGCCAAAACGCTCTACTGCAGTGATTTCTTGTTGTTTCCTTCATTTAGAGCGTTTTAATATTCATCTTTGGACACCAAAACGTCCTCTTCTAGCTTGCACATGCTTGGAATCTTGCTTCTTTGAGGGTTGAACTCATCTTGTTGCATTCTTTTGGCTCCAAAAAGCCTTGATGGATGTTAAAATCCCTTGAAATAAGAAATATTACAAGATTTAAGCAAGATATTCAATTCTTGTGACTTTATGGTGTAAAACCCTAATTTCCATGCAATTCATGATGTATTTCAAGTATAATAAGGCCTAAAACTAAGGTAAACCAAGGGTTTAGCATGCATGCTTTTTGTATCTTCTGTAAATCTCACTGTAAATGTTCATTGTAGGTATTTCGTAAATATGGCGGGCTGTAGAAGACCAAGCAATGCTGAAGGTGACAGACGCACGAAGCAACGACAAGACCGGCCTTCTTCGTCAAGGCCACAAGACGAAGAGCCTGATATTGTCGACCTCCCATTTGGACACCTATTTGAGGATAACCCCTCGGTTCACGCTGTATTTTTACGAGACCATTTGGACAGACCCTTATTTCCTCCAAAATCATTGGATACAACATTTTTTACGGTGGAGGGATTTCAGGTTGTGGATGTGTTGGAGGCGGCACATCTGAGGGTGTTGGCTGAGATGCTGTGTCCGTATCCAGAGATGATGGTGCGGGTCTTCTACCATGACCTCAGCTACGTACAGGGTGAGTTGAGGTCGAGGGTCTGCGGTGTGGACATCATCATGACGGCTCTGGTATGGTTGGAGTTACTGAGCTATGACTTTGACTCTTCACAGACTGTTGAGTATGACGCTGATAGCGGTGTATCACTTCCTGGATATGCCCGAGGTGATGTTGTGGAGGAGGCCAGGAGGCCTGATATCGGACGTGGTCGGACCATTCATTATACGGTGGGGTTGCTTAGTGTAAAGGCATGTATATTACACTATGTCATCACCCACATACTGTTTCTGCGAGCTTTCAATCATTCCAGGGTGCTGGAACATGACATTCCTATCATATGGGCTATTCAACATAGTGTTATGGTGAACTGGAGGCACTATATCTCTTGGATGATGTTTAAGGTCAAACATAAGGGTTATCTTCCATTCTCCTGTCTGGTACAGAGGATATTGGTTCACTTTGGTGTTCCTATGGACACTAAGCAGTTGAAGAAGACCACAGGCTATAATTGCAAGTTCGGAAAGCATCTACTGGAGCAGTGCAAGATCGCAAAGAACAGGGAGGGTGTGTGGCAGTTCTCTGGTACGGTTGAGGTTCCTTATGTTGCCCCAGATGCACACATGGTGGAGCCAAAGGCGGAGGATGAGGAGGAGGAGGAGGATGATGAGGTTGAGGTTGAGGAGATAGCTAAACCTGAAGGTGGATTTTCTTTGCGTGATGTCATGAAGGGCATAAATGCCACACTGAAGAAGATAGGAAAGATGACGTTGAAACATAAAAAATGGAGAAAGAGTCACATCAAAAAAGGGAATGAAAGGTTTAGACACATACAGGGAAGGTTCAAGGATGTGGAAGATAGGCTTGCTCGTCTGGAGCTTGCACAAGGTGAGGAGGTAGCGGAGGCAGCAGGGGATGGGGGTCATGTGTCAGATGAGGAGGACTCACAGGCGAAGTCAGACGAGGATGAGGCTTAGATTTAGGGTTTAGTTTTTAGTTCTTGTAGTTATGTTTCTTTTCATGAATTTCCTTTAAGTTATTGATGTAATCAAGTGACTGTGGTGTTTATGGAGTTATGTTTTGTAATGAATGGAACTTTTGAAATGAATGTAGAATGTTTTTCATGTTTTTTTCATATTTTTTTCATGTTATGAATGGAACTTTTATACTAAAATTATCATCACGACCCAAATCAAGATTGAACAAGTCACAATCGTCCATAACAACTCACAGCAATGAAGAATTAGTGTTTAAAATGGCTAAATCATGAGTTGGTAACCCTAAACCAACGTTTTGATAGCATACAACATCGTTTTAGGATTTTAATGTCCACTTTGCTTTTTTGCTTCAAAAATTATGTTCCCTAAGTCACAAGACCTTAGTTCATCAGTGTAGAGTGTCAAGAACCTTAAAAAATGTGGAAAACAGATTTGGAGGTCAAAAGCAATGTTTTAGTCGATTAACCTGTACTGGTTTAATCAACTACAATTTTTAATCGATTAAACCATTACAGGTTAATCGACTAAAACTTTGCTTTTGACCTCCAAATCTGTTTTCCACGCTTTTTTCACATGGTTGAGACTCAACACTAATTAACTAATGTATTTTGACTTGGGGAACATACTTTGACCCTAAAAAATAAAACGTGCACGTAAAATTCCTAAATGGTTTACCTATTGTTTCAAAACGTTGGTGTAAGCGTACCAAATCATGATTTAAGCATTTTAAACACGTATAAGTTATTATTCTCAGTTTTTTTGGACGACGGTGATATGTGGTTGTTATTATTTGGCCCCTTCGTACCATTTCAACACAAAAGTTCATTTGCCGACGTTTGTGAATTATGGGTTTAGGGCATAAACCTTGGATCCAAACATAGCATGATCATTACATTCAAAAGCAAATTAAAACAACAAAATACCATAATGGAGTTCAGTAACATCATTACATCAAATACATGAAAGTTAAACCATAAACACATTAAGCCTCTCCTCTGCTTCCTCCGCATTTCAAGTCATCCTCATAGGACATGTACGTTTGTTGTGACCAATTTGTTTGCACAGGCTACATCTACTCTGACTGCTTATGGGTTGAGACTCAACCCAATCCATCTCATTCTGTATCCTTGAAGACTTTGGTCTTCCTTGTGCACGTACCAAAGATGCATTTGGGATGATGGTTGGGCCAGCAATTTCTGGAATGAACAACTTATTGCCCATTGGATACCAATGTGCAGCATATACTTTGTCAATTTGTGCAATTGAGAACATAGGATCAACATAATCATAGTGGTTCAACTTTTCTACCTTGCACACCGCTAAGACGTGACTGCAAGGAAATCTTCTAGCTGTGAACCGTCTACATTGACATTTGCGATTGAGCAAGTCCACCCTCATTATGTCATCGGCATCATGAGTTGATTGTTTGTAGGCATCCTCAACTTCAAATAGCTATAAGTCCTTATCAAAAACCCGGACATGGAAACTCACTGTTAACTGATCATTTTTTTGCATGATCTCCTCAACTTTTTTTGCAATTCTCCAACCTTTTGCCAATGCTTTTTGGATCCTTTCACGTCTCTTGACGAAATACTCAACAAGTCTACTTTGGGTCATCTTCACCAATGTTGTTATAGGCAAATTTTGTGCACCCCTCAAGACCTTATTGACACACTCAGATAGGTTAGTCGTCATGTGACCAAACCTCTGGCCCTCCTCATCGTAAGACCCGCACCATTTCTCTTTGGGAATCTGGTCTATCCTGGGAACTCAGGTTTCCTGAGCTTGTGTCAGCGTCGAAATCACCCTCTATGTCAGTATCTGACGTGTCCCCTAGCGGAATAACACTCTCAGGTTCACCGTCCTCATCACTGTCCATATCCTCCTTCTGCTCATCCTCATCTATTTCCCTCAATGTTATTGTTAGTATATGGATGTCATAGGTATACCTTTGGGCATGTCCTGAAAGAACATAAGCCTAGGGTGATAAGCTGAAGGAATTCGTCAAATCTCTGTGAGGGATTAGGTTATCTGTAAACCGGAGAAATCGGGATGACATTTACGGGACTCGGGAATCTGTGCATAGTAAAAGAGATCATGAGATGATCTTCCTTTAGAGTCAGTAAATTGAACATTCCCTATTTCGAATTAAAGCTTACCCTAAACCGCAATGGTTGATACATCTCTTCACCCTAAGTTTAATGGGAAGGTAACCGAGACGAAAGGAAATACATACGGTAACCAAATACATTTAATAGGATGATCATGTCAT